GGGTGTGGGTCCGTGCAGAGTGGGTGGGCTGCTCTTGGCACAGATCCACTGAGAGGCCCCATGTGACCGTGGTTCCCCCGGGTGTTGCTTTGCCAGGATGGAGCAGTAGCATGGAGCAACGCTGCCGCAGGAGGTGGACGTGCGGCTGTCGCCTCCAAGTGCTGGTGTCAGGGCAGCCAGCCAAGGCCCTGGGGTTAGAGGTGACTCTCCATCACCTTCACGTCCAGTTGTGGAGCACACTCATTCCTCCTGTACCTCCCCTGGCTTTGATGAGGTGAGACCTTCAGCGACTCTTCCCTGTTCCTCCAGAACAGGCTCTCCTTCACTCTGGGGAGGAGGCAGGTGGTTCCTCCTCCTGGCTGTGTGTGTCCCCTCTTCGTTTCCCTCTGCTCTCCTGGGGGGTGACCCTTCTACCGCTGTACCTGAACGGTTCACGATGTTCTGTGCATTGCAGCTGGCAGAGAGAACAGGGCACCAGCTGGGATCCGGGGGGAGCTGTTCTGGTTCTTTGGCATCGACGATGGGGATTTGCCAGCCCACCATCATGTGTCCTCAATGCTCCCACAGTCCTGGAAGGGTCTGTCCAACCGTGTTCCCCACGTCAGCCGTGTACGGCAATTCCCAAGCCCTGGAGAAGTCAGTGCCGCACAAAGAGGGACTCGCTGAGATCTCTCTCACACCAGTTTCTGGTGCAGTTAGTTGGGCACCACGTCTGAGCCACTGCGTGGACAATTCAACTCTGTATCCTGAGATCCTCTTAGCTCCTGGCCCAGGTGTGACATCGCTCAGTGCTAGAAATGGGCATTTCTGGGCAGGTGGCTACCTTGTGGGCACCCAGCTCTCCTCAGACAGCTGCCTGCCTGGGAATTGACACCAGTGATGTGCAGAAGATCCCAGCTCCTGCAGGAGTCTGGACCAAGCACATATAAGCACAGCCAGGCTGGGTCAGACCAAAGGCCCATCCAGCCCAGAGTCCTGTCGGCCCACAGTGGCCAATGCCAGGTGCCCCAGAGGGAGGGAACAGAACAGGGAACCATCCAGTGACCCCTCCCCTGTCGCCCATTCCCAGCCTCTGGCAAATAGAGGCCAGGGACAACATCCCTGCCCATCCTGGCTAATAAGTATTGATGCAGCTATCCTCCATGAATGTATCTAGTTCTCTTTATGTAACCCTGTAAAAGCCCTGTTCTTCCCAGCATCCTCTGGCAAGGAGTGCCACAGATTGCTGCATGAAGAAAAACTTCTTTTTGTTTGTTTTAAACCTGCTACCTATTCATTTTATTTGGTGACCCCTAGTTCGTTACATGTGCAGCTGTTCTTCCTTTATGTTAATGCATAGGCCTGATTTATTCTGACATGTTATTCTGAAGTTATTATCATCGATACATTGAGGGAGTGTAGGAGGTGGGAAAGAGGGAGAGAGGGAGGGAGAAGGCCCATCCATACACAGGCATCTTGCGTGCTATTTGTTGTAACGTTTGCAGATGACAGCCAACTGGAAAGGGTGTTCTGCCCCTGAGAGACAAGATGAGAAACCCAGGACTCTCTGGCCCATTTCGATCTGGATCCATTTCTGTTAGCTTCTTCATAACCATCCATTCCAGAGAGAATGCGACACACACGCTCGCTGTATGAGCTGTCCTGAGAGCAACTCCATCTTTTCCCCCCCAACGGGGTTGTTCTCGTGTGGAAGGAAACCACAGTCACACTTAGGCCTCAGAAAATATTTCAGAAATCCCCACTTGGTCACCAGCGTCTTCTCATAGCTGGGAGGTGGATTGGTCTGCTCTGCCATGGGTGAGGAAGCAGATGAATCAGCCAGATTTGGGTGCCACATGTTGAAGAAGTGGACAATTTTGGCAGCGCTGAGTTCAGAGGACTCTGGGACGGCAGCATTTTGTTTTTACCCTAAGCAAATTGTGACTCGCAGGGGAGAAGAGGGAGCAGAGAGAAGAAACTGGAAAGGAGGGACCTGGATCAGAGTGACCTAGACACATTGGAGGGTTGGGCCAAAAGAAGATTGAGGAGGTTGAACAAGGACAAGTGCAGAGTCCTGTCCTTGAGACAGAAGAATCCCAAATACTGATACAGGCTGGGGACCAACTGGCTAGGTAGCAGTTCGGCAGAGAAGAACCTGGGGATTACAGTGGATGAGAAGCTGGAGATGAGTCAACAGGGCGCCCTTGTAGCCAAGCAGGCTAACGGCATATTAGGCGACATTAGGAGGAGCATTGCCAGCAGATCCAGAGACATGATTATTCCCCTTTATTCAGCTCTGGTGAGGCCACATCTTGAGTATTGTGTCCAATTCTGGGCCCCCCACTACAGAAAGGATGTGGATGCATTGGAGAGGGTCCAGAGGAGGACAACCAACATGGAAGACATGGCCTATGGGGAGAGGCTGAGGGATTGGGGCTTGTTCATTCTGCAGAATCTCAGTAACCCGTGTTTGGTTCTTTGAAGGATTTCAAACCACAGACAGGAATACTTCTTCTTAGGGTTAAACAAAGATTTTTATTTTCCAATTTACTTTTATAAGTAATTTTTCATTGAAAACAATCCATTATCTTTGATTCTTTTAAGACAGCATAACATACATATACAAATCGAAAAACAGTACAGTTAAAAAGCAAGAAATAACTCCTCCTGCAGCTAAAACCCTCCAGATGTACCTTTTTAACAGTTAGTGGAGTTGTCAAATATATAATACTCACAGTCAGACAGAGAGAAGCGTTGTTTAGATTCAGGAGATATTCTTTTCTTTATTCTTCCTTTCGGATTTTTGGTTGCAACTTACGACTGGTGTTCCCCTGGGAGGGAACCACTTGGTTGATCAGACACGGCTTTTGGGATTCTCAACCCATCCATCCAAATCTGATTCCGTCCAACCTCATATACATTTTTCCACTTGCCTGACTATGCTGACATCAGTCTTTTTGCCATCTATTTTTGCCCTTTAGACTTTTATCTGCTCCATTTGGGGTTATTGCAGTCTGTGTTACTTTACTTCCCGAAAAGCGGGGTTATTATTGGTCATCCAATCAAATTCTGGTTTTTTGTTTGTCTCCTGTATCCTACCAATGCTTCCTTTCCTTTGCTTACCACTAACTTAGTGCTCATTTGGCATTCTGGGTAGGCTTTACCACATCCTTTCACACAGAAGAGAAGAGTGAGGGGGGATTTGAGAGTAACCCTCAACTCCCTGAAAGGGAGTTACAAAGAAGATAGAGAGAGGCTGTTCTCAGTGGGAGCAGAACGAGGAGCAATGGGCTCAAGTTGCAGTGGGGGAGGTCTAGGTTGGAGATTAGGAAAAACTATTTCCCTAGGCGGGTGGGGAAGCACTGGGCTGGGTTCCCTAGGGAGGGGGTGAAATTTCCATCCCTAGAGGTTTTTAGGTCCTGGCTTGACCAAGCCCTGGCTGGGATGGTTGAGTTGGGTTGGTCCTGCTTGGGGCAGGGGGCTGGACTGGATGACTCCTGAGGTCTCTGCTGGCCCTGGGATTCTAGGATTCTAAGAAGACCCTGATACAAGGTTCTGATCCTGCGTTGGGCCAGGGGTTGGACTCGACAACACACTTGCATTCTTACAAAACCTCTGCTGCAGGATCCTTGTAACTCACAAGCACCACTGTCTCTGTGGCCGTGTCACACCCTCCAAAGCTGGATAACAATCCCGGATACAGTTATTGACCAGAGCTGAGGCCTCTTTCTCTCCCGTGTCCATCTCTCTCCACAGCAGCTTGAGTATTTCACTGCCCTGTAGCAACTGCCCCAGGGTTCCTCCCTGTTTGTTGCAACTCCCACGGACTTCCACCCCTTGCGCTGTCCTCGAGTAACAGCGCCACTGAAAGGCCTTGTGGTGTAAAGCAGCAAATCCGTGTGAGCGAGGGGATCTGAAACGGAGTGCAGTCCTTTGTGCTCTCGCTTACTGGGCAGCCCTCCGAAGGTGGTGGAGCAAGGCTCGGCTATTGCTAGCGATGAGGCTCATGGGGTGAAAAATGACAGGGCATTCCAGTTTATTTATTGAATATTCATCACGCGGAAGGAAGAGGATTGCCAAGGGTTATTGTTACACATGGCACAAAAAATAATTTGGAAGTTAACAGCAATAAAAAACCTCAGCATTGTAAATAGCAGTCCAGGGTCTAACCTCCCTGTGAATCATAGAACCATAGAGCTGGAAGAGACCTCAGGAGTCATCCAGTCCAGCCCCCTGCCCAAAGCAGGACCAATCCAACTCAATCATCCCAGCCAGGGCTTGGTCAAGCCAAGACTTGAACACCTCTGGGGATGGAGAAACATCATCAGCTGCAGTGAAGTTATTCGACATTTATCCAGGGTGTAAATGAGATTGTTAGATGCCTCACTGCTCACCACAAAACTCCTTTCTTATTTCCTTTCCTTCCGTAAACTAGGAGAAACCACAGAGAGATCTTGCAGACACGGGTACTTGCCAGCGTCAATGTCTGAGTGAAAGGGATGTACGGTGACCAGATAGCAAGCGTGAAGGAGCTGAACTCTTTTTTGGAGTGTGGGGTGAGGATAAATTTGAAGAAAAAGCCCTTCGTATCTGAATGGTCTCAGCAGTATCACGATGTGTCGTCAACCAAGGAGGCTGGTGCATGAACACTGACGAACCAACATGTATGTGTAAGTGTCTTACAAATTCTATCTACGTTTCATAACTTTTGCATATGAATTTATCTATGAATTAATGAGAAGTCCTGTGGCACCTTAAACACTAACAAATTCATGTACATAGATATATAGTATTACATGCTTTCCTGAGCAAAACCCACATCTTTAAGTGGGATGATTTTCAAATTATCCATCTATGTTACCATGAACTACTATTGATATATTTATTCATCTAATAATCATCATATACTATCTATCCCCACGCTCCCTCTATCTATCTATCTATCCATCTATCCATCCAACCATCCATCCTTGCATCCAGTTTTCTGTCTTTCCCGAACAAAAAGAGATGTGTTTTTAAAATTATTTGGGGGTGAGTGAGGACACAATTTGCTTGATTTCCTCCATAATCTTATCCACGTTGTTGGATACATTCTTCTTCGCTTTGGTGAGGAGTTCTTCCATATCTTTCTCTGAGTAAGACATATTTGTGGTGCCAAACTTGTCTCTGCACTGCTTTATCTCGTTTGCTCCTAAAAGAGGTGGGGAAGTGCAGAAGAGAGGAGAACAGCGGTTTTGTTTGTACACTTCTCTGGCACCCAACAGCACAGAACCCTGCGGCACAGAACCCTGCACCTAAAGAGGCGGGGGAGCAACTCCTGACGTTTTCATAGAATCACAGAAATGTGGGGCTGAAAAGGAGCTTGGGAGACATCTCTTCCAGCATCCTGCGCTGAGGCAGGACCAACTGAATCTAGCCCAACCCTGAAGGGTGGTTCTCCAACCTGTTCCTAAACCAGCTCTTGGGGATTCCCCTCCATCCCTGGAAGGCAAAACTACCAGGATGTTAAAAAGGTTTTCCTAGTCTCCCCCCCTCCACAAAAAACAAACAAACAAACAAACATGTGACTGGAGAACTAGTGCTGTTATCATCATCTCTCTATGTATTTTAGAGAGTTTGTATATTTGTCCGTCTGTCTGTGACTCCAGCTGTCTGTGAGTCTGTGTGTTCAGGAATTCCTCCTAAATTATAAGAGTTAGGATCCCCAAATGTGGGAGGCAGCTTCCTCTCACCCTAACTTAACACAAGGGCAGGGTTTGGTTGTGCCAGGACAATGGGAAGTGCCTGGAATGGGGTTGTTTTCCCTAACACAGAAAGGGAGGGGCCTGAGAGCAGTGACGGGTTTTGACCACAGGGGGCAGCGAGCGCAGGGGAGAGCTACACTGCAGAGTGACCACAGGGCAGCGGCCGCACCGAGGCAGCTTCCTCTCACCCTAACTTAACACAAGGGCAGGGTTTGGTTGTGCCAGGACAATGGGAAGTGCCTGGAATGGGGTTGTTTTCCCTAACACAGAAAGGGAGGGGCCTGAGAGCAGTGACGGGTTTTGACCACAGGGGGCAGCGAGCGCAGGGGAGAGCTACACTGCAGAGTGACCACAGGGCAGCGGCCGCACCAGGCAGTGAGGGGCCAGCTGGGGTCGGTGCTCTCCATGCTGCAGATCCCCAGCCTGGGTAAGTGGCCTCCTGCCCCCAAATCCCTCCCCAGGTTTCGGCCACAGTGCCAGAAAGGGGTGGCCACTGGCCAACAGCCCCTTCAAGCAGCAGACCTCCGCTTCCCTCCAGGAGATTCTGACTGGAGGGGGGGGGCAGCG